ACCAATCGTTTGAGTTTCTAGCTGACATGGCTCAGAATCGATCAAAATGGTGTAGGTGTATACATTTTTGTCTTAAACCATGAGATTAAAATTACTTTTCCTTCAATGAAACAATTCTTTCTCCCTGTATCATATCCTTATATGAAATGTCTTTTTATAATACCATTGAAGTAACTACTTCTATGAATTTGGTATTTATCTTGTTGTACTAAAGAGGTATGGGAACTTAGACCAATGAATATATGTACCTGGTCTTATGTTGTAGCTGGCTGACTGAATGTTTAAAAAAAATTGGCTCAAAGGGAATATGAATGAAAAATCTGGACATTACTGAGATATTCTCTTTTTAGCAGTTTAATTCTGAACTTTGTGTTAGAAAAAAAACAAACAAAGAATTCTAGGTATCATTACCAAAGTTTGACTTGACAATTTCGAATAAATTGAGCAGTGGGGAGGTTGTTATAAATAAATAATATATTTGTAATATCCCAATGAGTAAAAAATTACACTTTTTGATGTTTTGTGACTTAGTGCAAGCCACTTCTTCGGAGAATAAATATCCAAACGTCAGAAAATCTCATTTCTCTACTCATTGGGATATTACAAATATATTATCTATTTACAACAAAGAATTAGCATGTTACAACCTTTATGGTGTAGGAGTAGGTTGGAAGAAAGCTAGGGGCGGCCAGACCAAAACGTGGCACAAATCCATGAAGTCACTGACAAGTGGACTGAGCCATGTTGGTAGGTGTAGATTATCTGGTTGGGATCCGCAAGACGATAGCAACCAATGGTTAGAGACCCTGAATGACATGGTTCAAAATCGTTTGCAAAGGCTCAGGTGCATCCACTCTTTGTGTTTTCCTAAATCCTAGTCTTCTAAATTATTCATGCTCCTATTTATTTTCTTCCCAAATTTATTTCATTGAATTATACTCCTTGAATAACATCTTCAAACCCTAATCTTTTTGATTACTGCTTATACTTTTACTACCTCTACCACTATGGGATTTGAATCGACAATTGTATCTGTGTGCTAATGTGGTATGGCAACTTGAACTGATGTACGAAGTTCTACGTTGTTTCTGACTGAATGACCTTTCACTCTTTTCATAGATTTACCATTTTTTGTTGTTGTTTGTTTGTTTATTTTTTTTCCATAATTTTGTTCGAAATCTTAGAAAACAAATTAAGGTATAAACTTCATGTATTTTTTTCCTTTATTTTTTTCAAACAAATTATTATTTCAATTCACTTGGTATTGTTTTACTTGTATCTTCCTATTGTTATTTAGGACTGCAGTTAATCAGTCTCATGTTAGCATATGTGTATCGTGTGCAGATTGCCTGGATATAGCCTTACGTCACAAGCTTGTTAAGCAAAGATGGATAGTGGTTAGCAGTAGAAACAACACCAAGTGAGTTTAAACTTCACCCGATTGTACAAGCTATTGGCTATTAGGACTCAGTAGTTAGGTAGATAACGCGATGGCATTTGAAGCGAACAGTACTGGGTTCGGGTCCTGGAGTGAACATCAACTCTGCCATGCAGGTACATCCAGCTGACGAGTCCCAAATGAGACGAAATACGAGTCAAACAGGATTCCACTGCTAGCCATTAGTCATCTTTGCTTAAAAAATTATTATTTCAGTTAAAATGATTATTAATGAAGTTTTGTATACAATTCCAATAAATGGAATCATATTTTATTTCTTCACTGAATTCTTTTTTTAAATTAAAAATTGTTACTTATTTATATTTAGATTATTTATAAACTACAAAACACAAGTCAGTCAGCTACAACCTAGGACCAGGCACATATATGCATCGGTCCAAGTTGCCACACCTCATTAACACAACAAGATGGACACCGGATTCATAGAAGTAGTTAATTCAGAGGTGGTAATATATAAAAGAAAGATTGCATATAAGGATATAATAAAGGAAGAAAGAATTAGTTGGTAGAAAGAAAGATATGAAGTGATTTTAATCTCTTAGTTTAAGGGAAGACAAAGAGTGTATACACCGACGCCATTGTGATCGATTCTGAGCCATGTCACACACAGTCTCCAACCAGTGGTTACGATAGTCACATGGACCCCAACGAAGTAGTCTGCACCTATCAACATGACTCAGACTAGAAGTTAGTGACTTCAAGCACTGATGCCACGTTCTGGTTTGGCCGCCCCCAACTTTCTTCCAACCATCTCCAACACAAGGATATAAATGGTGCCATCTAGATATTTCAACAAGTTATCTGTCTTCTTGTTTGTTTTAATACATTATTATGCTTATTAGTCGCAAAAAATATTCAGGAACGTTTGTGACAAGTTGATGACATTTCGCTGTACAATTTACAGAGAGATCGTGGTTGCTGGCAATATGCATTGAAAAGAATGAACATTATTCAGATGTCGACTGACTGAACTGGTAACATCTAACTGGTGACCACTCAATGTTTACTGCAAGGACAGATCAAGACATAAGAAAATGAAATTTTTTGAAATATTTTGTGCTGAGAATTCTATATTGTACCAAAAATATAATATTAAATAAAGCCAATAATAATATTATAAAACCCGACCGTTGCTGCTACCTTAGCGTGGTGATCGGGCTTGCCTATCTCAGTGAAACAAACGAGCTATACTGGCTGGAACAACCGTTCCTCAAGGTCCTACAATGCCAGACAGATCGGTAAGACTAAAAGCAGCAAACTTAAGGTCCGAGAGCGAAGTCATGCCGCTAAGTGTACAGAGATGTGACGGCAGTAAGGCGTTTCCTTCAGACAACCAGCATAACAGCGATGCTGCCTTTCAACAAAGAGGGGTGTGGTTGGAAAAGGTCAACCCTAAAAATGCACACCTCGCCTTATTCCACAGATATCCGTCTCCGGCGGTAAGGTTTCAACGAGTACGGAGCTAACACGAAAATTACTGACAAAAAGGTCATGTGTGATCGACATCAAGCCGTTGTCCTTTGGACACTGCGATCACACTCTCAAGTCACTAAGACCACCTCTAACCTAATTTTATTTTTAGGTACCTCCAGAAGAACCCTTTCACAATGTGGTCAACCGGGTAGTGATAACCACCCTCATACATCTAACAGCACTCATGATCACTAGAAGTATAAAAATATCATAATTAGTTAAGATATATAGGTCACAGGTCTCAACCTGCTCGACATATATCAGAAATGACTAAATGTATGAATAACCGGATTTCATAAGAGATACTTATTTCCCTTAATTTAAAGAATAAAGTTATAAATTAAAACTATTTTGAATAGATCTATCATAAATTCCTTTTTTTATATGTAGAAAAATTATATTATAACATACTGTAACGTTTTATTATTTCCTTTGATAAATACCATAAAATGTATGTACATAGACAGTAGAAATTAGTGAATACAATGACAACATAGTCACTAGTAATAATAATAATTTGGTTTACTTACATTATGAACTATTTAGTATTATAAATTAAGTTCTTTTATGGTTTTGAAGCATAACCATTTAAAAGAGTAGAACATGTGTAGATAACTAAGATTTTACCATAGGTTTCTTAGAAATGTTACTTGTATAAAGAAATTTCAAGGATATTTCTTTAAAAAAGCTTGAATCAGATTGCCAGACGAAATGTTGGATTTACTTCAAATAATTTCGCTGAGATTTTACAAATACATTCCTACAGTTCCTACTTACTTGAATATTACGAAATTATTGACTAAGTGATAGTTATGTTAGACTTAATGTAATTCAATAATATGATAAATCGATTGGTGAGATTATGAAATTTCATGAGCCGACAAAGCTGAAATATGTATTAAGACTGGCTGACTAGTCATCATCAACTCCTGAAATAGTAGGTAGAATAAGAGTATATTGAAAAAACGTTAAGGGCTTTTTAGTAAAGAAGTAATATCAGTTTGTGCAGTTGTCAATGTCTGTTGGTTTGAGCCCCCAAATGCCCTGGTATAGCCGAGAGTGGGGTGGGACCGCTCTCCCTCTCGAAATGCTCTCACACGGCCACGCGTATACAGCCCCTGTCAGGGAAGTCCTACTCACTGCATTCTCGTGGCGGGGGTGTTTTTTGCGAAATTGAGAGGACGAAAAGCGAATGTCCAGCGCTTGAACCGGATTCCAAACCAATGGTGCACATGGGCTCCAGTATCCTGAAGGAACAAATGGCATATGAACCAATCGTTGGTCACCGGCTACCATGGGACTGTATCTCCTCACGATGCTCCACTGCCTTGTGGGTCAGACCTTTAGGTCCAAGGCCCCGGGTGTGGCCTCCTAAGGAAACCACCTGCTTCGGTCTGGACATCCGGGCAGTATCATAGCCCTCATACAAATCGAATGATTTATGTGGCGCATATGTATTTGGTGCCTGCTTGTACCAATATCTATGTGTTAAAATAAATAAATAATGTCAAGAAACTTAGATTTTGTGAATGGAATGTCTGTAGAAAAATTATAATTTATAATTTGAGACTTTAAACGGTATAAATCTTGGTCGATCGCTGCGGAACAGATGTTACTATCACTCTATATACTTCAAAATATTGAGCTATAATACTACTCCATACTTTTAGCCATTTGATTTTATTTGTTTTTTAGATTATATTCCCGATGTCCATCTTTTAATCATCATTAGTATCGTTATTTAAACTCTTTTGATGTTACACTAGGAACATGGATCAATGTATATTGTGCCAGGACCTATGTGCTATTTTAACTTATGAGTTCCATTTGGGGTTCAAAGGGAAATGACATTCCGTGACTGTTTGAAAGTCGTTCAGTGGAATACAGCTTGATACTGTGACTAATGTGACACAAATTCACAATTCCTGTGTCATTATAACAATGAACAAGTATATGGAAGTGTGAATAATCTATAGTTTATGTACACCTAAGAAAAATACTCGCAACAACAAATGATTCAAAACGCATTAACTGAAAAGACCATTTTTAATCATCAGAATTCACTTACTTGAGCAAATTTCTCAGTAACGGATGATTTTGGTGGCTCTGCATGACTACTCAGCACCAATTGCAGGGCCTCAGACTCTTCAGTGGTTGGATGTAAGTGCCGGCTTTTTCTGGAAGAACCATGAATTATTTCTGAACTCTCATCTTCAGTGTAACCTCTATACCATGTAGATGGTCTACGCTTAGATTTGTCAGAGCATTTAGGAGTCCCGTGCTGGCTTTCTGAAACATCGATTTTTGATAGAGATTCTCTTTTAAGTGAATCATCTTGACTTTTAGGTAAGAATAAGGAAGTTGGACGACATTCTTTAGACTGACCAGATACAGACTCATTTGGATAGTCTCCAATAAATTGGATCTGATCGCTTGAAGATAAGCTTTGTGGACGAGCCAATGACTCTGTTATAGTAGTACCTTTGTAAAAATTAATGTTAAGTCGAGATGACGGACTCTATAGAAACCTTTTGCAAAACATATACAGGTAAACAAGTTTTGGGCTTTTAAGACGTGCTATCTAAAGTGTGATAAGTCCTTTGGCGACTTGCACTTATAAGATTCACATTCTTGAAACTTTGTTTTTCTTATAGTATATCACTTTCCCGTAAATATATACACGTATGCTTAAGTGATGTGTATGAGACCGTCTGGACTGATGTACGTATAATCTATGTGGTGTATACTAGTAGCTTTTATTTTGTTGTCGTTTGATCATAGGAAATACAATGAAAATGATTTTTATATTTCAAATATAACTTTCACATATAATGACTTCTCTATACTCGGCGCTCAATTGCTGTCAAACTATTCGTTCTAATCTGGACGAATATTCGTAAAAAATGATTTCTGTCCAGCTTTATCATTTAAAATATGAGGCTAGGTTTCTGAACTGACGATATATTTTACCATGTTGAACAGCATTTGCCTTATGTCGCCGAAGTTCCTTGGAAAAAGCGTGGATTATAACTGGAAGTGTTTACACCTGACGTAAAGGAAAAAATAGTTCCCACTAATTGAGACTTCCCTACAGCACTAAGTTTTATGACACAAAATAATTTTCCATATGCTGTCCCATATTCACACTACATACTCTCACCGATCTTTGGGACGACTGAGAAACTCAGAAGTCATAATTCGATAACATGTTAACGCAAGAGAGATTACTTGCGATGGACTAACTTTCTATCAATGACCCACAAGTGCCACTTTTAAAGTTTTTTATATTTTACGAAAACGACAGTAGTGTCCCAGATGTATTTTACTTTCAATAAAAAATAATAGTTTAAAACAATTTCCTAATAATCTGTTTACAACTTTTAATTTTAGTTCTTAACGGTATATAATATAATCCTTATGATGAAAAGAATGTTAGTGCCGATATAAATAGCAATTCATGTAACTATAACTGATATGGGAAATACATCAAAGCCTTCAATATTTTACTGCGATTGCAGAAATTCAGTGAGAGGTTATCGCCAAGTGAACTTTTACACAGAATAACACCTCGAAAATATTCAGGGATGATTGATAATTCATATCAAACTAAGGGCAAAATGAAGACTTTATTTTCTTCCAAAACTTATCCCATTCTTGATTTCGAATTTGTAAAAATGCTAGAGCATTATTTGTATTGATTAGGGTCTGAAGCATATTTGATACAAGGTTTAAATACTGAGGTATGTTCTTACGATGAAACAAACACTTTTGAAGCAGATCAGGATATATGTAAGCTGACTTTTCTGATTTTGGTATTCCAGAACATCATTTGGAAATGGCTGACCAAAGTTGTTTGGCGAAGAATAAAACTAACTACCACTACGCTTATAAACATACTATGCATTGCAAAGTACTGCTATGAATGAAGGCAGTTTTGCAAAGAAAAAGAGTATCTTAACTACCAGGTACACTCAGTACCTAAAGTCTGCCTCGAACAGATAGAGCAAAATGTTACTGAAGATCTGTGCACGATGCAAATTAGTACCGAATATAGACCGTGAAAGTATCACTCATTAACAATGAAACTAGTATGCAAAGCCGTCAGTTTGGTACTGCACCTTAGAAGAGAAGAACAAAGTAATGAAACTTCAAATTATTCTCAGTCACAAGACAATTATTAGGAATGAATTGAAATTTAGATAATAATAATAATAATAATAATAATAATAATAATAATAATAATAATAGTGTAAAAAATAATAAATCAATTTATAGGCAGTACTGAATAGACAGTAGAAACACTGATTATTACTCGATCAGAAAGCTAAAATGTTTTCAACTGAACTTTAGCAACGTATGATGGAAACGCTCCAAATCTTAGCTAACAATTAGCTGGAAATGACTTACCTTCACCTACCGTGCCCAGCTTCGAATCAGATGTATCACACTTCTTATCTCTGAAATGCTTTCTCACGTCTAAGACAGAAGGTTTGGTAGATTCTAAATATAGAACTTTGAGAATAGTAGGTGAATACTTGATATGTTAGTTCGAATGGGATTTTTCGGAATATGGTTAGGGCTTTTGTTTACTCGAAAAGATTTTAGCTGCCACTTTGTGCGCAGACCTGGTCCTACAGTTGGTGATGGAATTAACTCAGCGTATACCTTTGTTCATTTGCACGAGGGTTTGTGTGTTACTGATCTCTTCCCTGAAAAAAAGTAGGTAGAGTGGCAACCCACCAGTCTCGTCTCGGACAGGAGTTACAACAATGCGGAAGCATATAACGCAATCTGAAACTGGTAACAAAACAAAAAGAAATTACTATCTCTGGAATAAAGGTTCATAAGCACTTCCGTCTCGTTAGTCTGATTAAGGGCTGCCAACAAAGTCTCCATCGAATCAACAGTAGTCTCCGGTCCATAGAAAATTGATAAAGCTGAAGACTTGAGCATAAGCTGGCCCTTCGTATATCGAAGAAGTTCGCAAAACCCATCACTACAGTAAATAATTGGTCTGGAAGGAAGTGTGGCATTTGCCACGATAAAGTTTTCATCTAACAACTTAGGAAAACGTTGATTAAACTTACACTGAGAGTCAAAATTCCTAATAAGAGTTACAATGTAGGTGTTGTGTGGTGCAATATGACCCCTTTTAATGGGCATAATCACAAACCACTACAGGTTTGAGTCAATAATACCTTTGCAAAAGGCAAAAACGTGATTCCGAATGTTTAGAACTTATGCTTAGTTTTCGACCTTCATAATCAATTAGTTAAAAGCAAATTCAGACCTTTTGCCATTCATACTTCAAGTAATGGATCAGAAAATGTAGTGAGACTTCAACAGTTTTTTTTAGTCGCATCATTCGAAACCTGAAGGAACAAAATATTATCCCCTCTTCATTGGTATGTCAGAATTACGTGGTAAGAATAGCGAGTCAAGTGACCTGTACTGATCTTTATAACTTTCAGCGTTGCTGGGATTCGATTTTTACTGAAACTTTTCGAAAACGATTGTTGATACTATGTGTTCTGTAGGAGAATTTCAGTATTTCAACAAACGTGATTCTGGACGAAAACAATTTAAAATTTCTTTTGATATCAATGAACATCTCCTCCTAACAGATCAAAAATAGGCGTTTTGACGTCAAACGCATAGTCAGGTATGGAGTAAGCTAGTACCTACTCATCGTTTAACCTGTGGTATAGTGGTGAATATAGGTAAGGATATGTCAGTCTATTGATCGTACGACGAGTCCAAAAATATTTCGCGATTTTATCTAAAACCCTTCAACCTATTCTGTAATATACGCCTAGTCCTTGATACAATACCCCTTTCTTTTAATCTCGTATTCCATATATGGTCTCACATAGCGACAACTGAGAGCATTTTTACCATGAATATGCATTATTACAAAAGAACTTTCGTCTAAATTTGAACGAATAGTTTCACAATATTTGGGCGCCGAGTTAATGTGAGACATTAAAAAGAAGAATATATTTGTAAAATCTCAGCGAATGAATTTTAAGTAATTCCAACGTCTCGCCTGGCAATCTGGTCCAAGCTTTTTCAAGGAAAATATAATCAAATCGAATTTTGTTGTTTGATTATATTTTCCTTGAAAAAGCTTGGACCAGATTGCCAGGCGAGACGTTGGAATTACTTAAAATTCATTCGCTGAGATTTTACAAATATATTCTTTTTAATATGCATTAATAGCCCTGAAATAATGTGAAAATAGTTTGGATAGACAGGATCGTATGACTGTGCGCAGAGTCGATGGACATCTGAAAAGTTTGAAGATGCCACAGCTTTTCGCAGTTTGATAACGCTTTAACCTGTAACACTTAATATGAAGCGTACCCAACAAGTGAAGTCAAAAGACAGAAGCGAGGAGGTTCTAAGATATATTTGATAGGTTATCAATATATCGAGGATCGTCTGATTTAATCTAGCTAGCAATTGCAGGGGATGTTGAGCACGGCGTTCCCACTCGTGATCTGGTGCGGATGCATGACCGAGCGCCTTTAGCTAGGTGAGTCCATTAAAACTAATGTGGTCAGCATCCAATGTCGAACACTTACAGAGCTATTTATATTGTGGATTTATTTATCGCTACAAGTTGACTGACGCTCAAAAATTGGTTTCTTACCCAACAACTCAACACCATAATAATGAAAATACCGATGTAAAAAAGCACTGGGAAGTGAGTACATCAAGTTTTGGACTCATATACGGATGGTAGAAGGAAACATTTACAACGACATTTTCATAAAAAACATAAGAATATATTGACTACTGAGACGGCAAAAAATGAAGAATTATGTCCATAATTTGGTCTTATCTGTGAATCGGCATGCCACGTGTAGCTTACGTTTATTGAGAATAAATTGTAGTCATCATTATTAATAACTGTGATTTTTGTTTTGAGTTCAGATAAAACCCAGCTACATAGTTCATTAAGTTTAAGTACTCTATATGGCAGGTCATTTGCAAAAAAGTGGTCGAAGTTCTAATGGATCATGTTCAGTTTCTGCATCAATATTTTTGTAACCATTTGTGTTTATGATTGTTCCGTACAATAGGTCACCCAGGTAACGCTGACAACAAGTGGGCGTTGTCCCCGAGCAAGACAGGTTATATGCTTTCAGCCATGGACCTTCGATTGTTAACTCAACATCAGTTTAACAACCGAACAACCAATATGCGGTTGGAACAACGGACTGACGAACCCAAAATTTATTCGTTTAGACCAGACCACGTTCCTCTGTATAGCTCACAACGCGTCTTTGAGATACTCGTATTATACTATATCAAAATACAAACTCTGTGCTCAATATAAATGGTTTTGATTTAGAAAACAGAACAAATTACATCAAAAATACAAAACACCTCAAACGGTACGGCCTGTGCTATACAGTCAGAAGTTTCTCTAACGCAAAGTAGCGCACTAACCAATGAAAGAGACAGTTAATACTAAGGGGTTTGATACCTGAGAATCAATAAAAATATTCCCAGCAAGATGGGATCAAATATCTATCCGCAGGGATTCCAGCAATCCTCCCAAGCAGACAATCGAGAGGTTAACAATCACACACTGAACCACACCGTGACAACGAGCTCAGTCAAACACGACCTTACTGTCAATGGTCCGGCAACATGCAATGATATCTTAGGTAACAAAAGACAAGTCTTTAATCAAAATCACACAATAAAGGCTCGAACGAGGAAGACTGAAGAACAAAAGATATGGTTAGACGAGATCGGAACGAAGGTTAAAATACACAACAAGGAGAAGGAACAAATAAATGACAATAGTGTTCCACAAAGAAGCTGCAGAGGGATTTTCATCGTTCTCTTGCCGTTACAACCAGTTTAGTTATATATATATATATATATATATATATATATATATATATATATATAATCTTGCTGTTCTAACCTTTGTTAAGTTGCATTTTTTAGTATTTGTTCTAACTGGTGATTCCTTTGCACTTGATTGCGCGCTGATTACGAAATCCAAATTTGATAGTTTCAGTTGTGCTCATTTAATTCTACCTGCTTTAGGTTGCACTATTTCGGTGATTATTAGTCACCAAATAGATTCAAACAGTTATGATTATTATACTACTTCAATTAGAATACATGTGTAAACTAAAGTGCAAAACTTCACAACTTACAAATGGACTGAACTTAGTTGGACAATCAATAATGAACTCGCTATTGACTAACTTCGGGACACAATTCATGGAGTTCTAGATAGAATCTTTAGTCTGTAGAGCTTAATCATGTCGATTAAGAGACAGTCATCCATCACGAGAAATGGAAGCTGGTCTTACAATTTCCTAAATTGATTGAAATTAAACATATACGCTGTAGGATGCCGCTAAATGGTCTAGAATTTATACGCTATTCATCAGACCGTAGGTCTTGGGTCCGCCGCATTATTTGTGTATTTTTAGAGTCCCGTCTCGCAACGATATTTAATTGCGATTAATATAGGTCACTTTCAAAGCAATGCAATATACTCGTCTGAATAAAGTTAATCCATCCTTATGAATGAGGTGATCATTTGCCTGAATTAAGCCATTTCTTTTTCATCACAAACGCATTTCGAAAATAGCTACATTTCGAATGATTAGTGGCTCTGTAACAGCCTAAGTTGATTAGTTTAGAGTTGACATCTGTTACGAGAGAACTGAAGACTTTTGGCTGATTCAAACCTTTTTGTTGCGTATTAGTAATCTTACTATGTTTTTCAGGTGTAATTGTTTTACTCAACACCTGAACTTGTTTGTTTATATCATTATTTTCGGACATTTTGGTTTCTTTTGTTTTTGGTTAGTTATTTGTGAGTTTTTGCTCCGGGAACCTACTAAATTGAAGGTTTGTTTTGCAATTGTTAAAATTATTGTTGTTAGAACGGCATTTGGATCGATTATTTGTAAGTTGCGAATAAACTTTGGTACCTAAAGTGGAATTTGGTTCTATTGTCAATTTGGGTTCGTAAATTGCAAATAGATCGACATACCGTACTTCAATAACGGGAACGAGCAAATACTTGAACGTAACAACATCAAACAACTAAGTATATGTCAAAACAACAGAGTTCAAGTAATCATTCACTTCCCCATTTTGCTTAAACATTATATTCCCTATTATCTCATATTGAATGTTGAAAAGCTTTGTTTGTCTGAACAGGTAATCCCACGCTCCACTGTGACTGTGCGGGGATCTAAATAAAGACCTATTCATTACTAGTCTGGTTCCTTATATCAATAGTACGAGGGTTACCTACAGGCACGAAAGCCCCATATCTGACTCCAGTAAAATCGTATGATGATTGTTATCGAAATGTAAATGCCACCAACCCTCGTATATCTTTAACGGCTTAGTCTTCGCTACAAAATAACGTAGTGAGATAAGCCAATTAAGAGTGAATTTCGGGTACATATACTTCATACAAACATTGATTCAGACAGACAATCACAGATAAGAGGTGAAGAAGCCGAAGCGAGACTATGTGATGCGCAGTGGAGGTGAGTCGACTCGATTTGACCAGACGTAACTAAATGTTTATAGTAGGACCAATAATAATTTACAGACACGTGATGAGTAGAGTACATGATTAACACACATACGATCGTTTAAAAACAGACTAAATGAGGGAATAACCAACAAGGTCAAAATGCGGCCTGAGAAGAATGGATAAATTGGTCTGTCCGGAAACTAGGATAAGCTATGTTGGCTTGACACAGTGCCAGCCACCAAAAAACTCCGTACAAATTAGCACATTAGTTTGAGACCATCCGATTAATAACAAGACCTAATTACAAAATAATCTCCTCCTCCTCCGAGGGCTACTGCCGGTCCCAAGCCCGGATGAAGTAGGAGGGTTGGGCATGGGGTTAGCGTCCCCATCCTGTAGAAAACTAACTCGCTAAAAAAACGCTAACCAGAAAAAATTATTCAAACCTTTTAAACTCTGCCCTGGGAGTCAGAAGGTCTTCATTTAGAAGAGGTATGACGCCTTATGACGAAACTCGAGTTCCTTCTGAAGTCACGAGGCCGAGGCCTCTTTTGACAACCAGAGCCACCGTTTATTTAGGTACATGGAATGCTCGTACAATGTTGGAGACTGAGAGAGTCTTCCAAATTGCTGAACAATTACAAAATAAGTCTATGTTTACTATTCCCACTGAGCTATATGTGAAACACTGAGAATCAATGAAACACTAAAACAACTAGATCAGATGG